AGGCCCAGGTCTGACGGCTTTTGCATGCAGGTATGGCCACGTAATGCAAGTACTGTATGGGCAGAATACACAGCAAAAATGTCAAAAGTCAAAAATGGATTGACTGAGGTAAAATTTACACTGATTTTTGTAAATAATCCTGTTATTGAAAAGAGAAGCAAATCTTCACTTTAAAAAAAAACAGCTTTACTTGTCCCATTGTTTCTTGATTTAAGTCAAACTTTATTTGAATCACGGTTTTTTTGTAAACTACTTTATTCAGGCATATACTAATCGGTACCTTACATGAAATGAAATGAAATTTTTCTTAAAATGTTTCCGTTACTCTTGAACGCTGACCGTTCACATGAAAGAGAAGGACCTGAACCTGGACTGTCTGATTTTCCTGTCGCCATTGGTGCAACGAAAAGCAAAGTTGTACAAGTATTTATTTAGTATTTCTTTGTTTGTGTTGTAATGATAAAGAAAACACATTAGTATATTTATCTGAGTGTAGGGGGCGAGTGGAGGGAGTGTTCACAGTTCATCTACCCCACAGTAGTGCATCAGAACCATATGTGCCAGTGCTAATTACTCAGCCATGAATCCACTGTCCATTCACAAACACCCTCTTTCTCTGAAGTACCTAACTCTTCTAATGTAAAACTAAGAAAATTAATTTGAAGATTTTTGTAGCTCAGAAAACAGTAGTTCAATTCAAGATTCAAGAATTCATTTGCCATTTGCAATAAAACCACATTGGAAAAACGGTGCAAGACTACCCCAGTGAGCGCACACACCAGAGCTCTTGCCACGGCGCTATATTTCTGGCGCTATCATGGTTTTATGAGACAAAAACATCACCGGTTAAAACTAAATTGTAAGCTTTCCATTTATTTTTTAAGTCAGAATGTATTACTGGAACAAACAAGTGTGTGTCATACATATGTGTAAAGTAAAAGTTTGTTAAGTATTTCAAAGATTATTTAACAAAGGTAGTCAATATCTAACCAGTCAGAACAGCCTTCAAACTAGCAAACCCTCTCCTTCATGAAGAGTAAATTCCAACTAATATAGTCCAAAATATACTTCAAAATGACTAGTTTCAGATTGATTTGTTGTTGCATTTTTGCAGTGTAAAGGTGAAGCACATCTACGCTCCTCTTGTGCCGCTAACTAGACCCTCACAAACGCAGAGCACATAAACCATTACGCGCTAATTCAATCTAATTTATTTAGTTTTCTCAAGACACACACGCTCACCAAAAAAAAAAGAAGAAAAAAAATCACTTAAGCACAAGTTCCCGGCGCCTCTCGGAGAAATGACGGCGCCATCGCTCGCCTCTCTTCACAAACACAATTAAAACATAATAAATAAATAATCCGCAGTGCAACCGACGCTTCATTTGGGAGAGTTCAGGTCGTTAGAGTCCCACCATGAGTCCAGAGAAAACCTGCCTCTGGCCATTCGTGCTGGATTAGGTCTAATGGGACGGATCCCCCTCACCCTCTGCCTCTCGTCATCAGCTCATATTGTGTCTTTGAGCTGTTTGGAATGCTCGGATGTCATTTACAAACGTATAGAAAGTGTCACGCAGAGTTTAAGAAGACACATTGTGCTTCTGCCAGCTGTAATCGATGACGCCCGCAGACCATCGTTATGCGTCTGTGACATTTACAGCAAAATACACTAAAGGAATATGTTTTCTCTCGTTGGGAATGCTTCAATGACTCTAAAAATACTATACATGTGTCTATACTAGGGGCGTCATAAGTAATGTGCATTGAGTACTAAAGCAAGTATCACAAAATAAATATCAGCAAGGATTGATACAAAACAAAACATACCTAAACGGGACAAAATTTGACACGTTTAGAGCATTTCTTAACACGTTTTAAACAACACCAGTAAAATGTGTATAAAACCTTGTCACTCAATGAAAAGTATTATTTTGAGGTAAAATGTACAGTTTATTCTCCAAAGATATAAACACTTGTGGTATGAAATTTGAATTGAATATTTTCTCTAGTATTGAAAAAGTTTATACATTTAGTATTGTGACAACACTAGTCCTTAATGTGGGAGGGTTTTCTCTTACTCCTTAAGTAAACAGGCACATATAAGGCGTTTTATAAGTTTCTAACAAAAGAGTATTTACAAAAAAAAAAAAAAAAAAAAAAAGCACCTATTCTGTAACTTCACAAATTTTCAAAGCATTATCTCAACACAATATCCAATATATGGCTGAAGTAGAGTTATTTTCACTTTACAAGACATTTTACACAGTTATCAAAAATGTGGCTCGTGAAAAAACATAAATGCTGCCTAGTGGACATTGGGACACAGCAGACATGTCAGTCTGCTGTGTCCCGTCTATTCCTGCCTTTCGCTCTCTTACTTCTCTTCGAACAAGCAGCTTGTTCGAAACATAATTAAGTCCAACTTTATGTCAGCTGAGTTTTAGATCTTATATCTTTATCCAGAAATCCACTTTCATTATTTACTGCATGCAGTGGTCTCTGTGTAACATCAAGAGCTGATTTTACAACATATCCACACGGGAAAACACAAACTTTTGTAAACTCACTGTAAAGGTTGATATTATGATTTGAATTTAAACCCTTTCAGGCACCTCTCTTTTAGATATCTATTTTTCCATATTATTCTCATATCCTTTGAAAATACTGGATTTTTGAATATTTCTCGCTCCCCTTTTCCCCACAGCGCGGCTCAGCTCGTGTTTAACATATTCAGTCCGTCCAGTCCACGCACACGCACGCACACACAGGCACACACACGCACACACACAAACACACACACTGACACAGCTCCAAATGAATGGTTATTTATTCACTAAACGAGGTTCTGGGTGTTTAATGTTCCTTGGACGTTAGGTGGTTTGAGGAGGAGGCAGCGTCGGCCCCTACGGCTACAGACATCATTTATTTTACACATAGCCTAATACCTCGCGCCAGGCAGCCGGCGAGATGGGCTCCGACAAGACAGGGAGCCACACGGAGGAATAATGAAGGATTTCACAGAGCAGAGAGGCGCATTACAAGTTAGAGCCGAGAAAGCTCCAGCGACGAAGCCTTCCTTAATGATGGAACATGTCAAAACAGAAAATGTACACTGGGAAAACAACTCTGAAGTGCATAAATATTGCTTGAATTTTAGTTTTATCAAGAGCGGAGAAAACATGCCCTAATGCACTAGTCAAAATGGAAGCGGTAGACTAATGCTTTATTTGTGGTGCACTACAGAACCAGCCCATAAAAGAAATATTTGACACTAGGGCTATTAAGTTATACATTATACACTTTTACTCTATTTCACTCGTCAAATACAGTCATTATAACCCATAACGCTTTTTTTTTAATTATTATAAATAAAAGACAATAATTCACTTAATTGCACAAACAACTTTTTACTGAAAATGCCAAAATTCTAATTATTCTAAGGATTTTAGGAAGGATTTTACAAAATGACCATTCAAATAGTTGATCAGTAAATGTATTTTTAGTGCCTATAGTGACGACTGAACTGAATTGTTTCCCCTATAATTCGTAAATTAATAAAATTGCAAAAATTATGAAAATAATTTCTAGGTAATACATTTTTCAATCAAATGGTTTTTAAGTGAAGTTTGGCCAAAGAGACAAGCAGGTTAGTCTAATTTCAAGTGCAATTTATTTCTTTCTAAACAGGAATTTTCATGTCTCCTTTGGCAAATTGTGTTTAATTGAAGCATTTTGTAATGAAAACATTTTGGTCACTTTTTGCAGTACAACAGAAGCGAGACGACAGGAGTTTATACAAACAGTTATAATAATGTTTCTATAATGTGAATGAAGTTTTGTGCTTTGTGGCTGTAGAGTAACTTTCTTTCAACTTTTGGACATTATAAAGCAATAAAACCACAGTGCTTCACAAAGAAACTTGGGAGATCTCTCAAAAGCATTTGGAAAAGGTGTTGAATTGCAAATCTTTTGTGGCTTGGTGCATTTGGATGAGATGCAGATGGAGCTCACACAGGTGCACTCAGGAAGAGTCCAGTGGTGGCCGGATTACACAACAATCCATCATGTTAGGAAAAGTTTTAATGCTAAATGTGCATATTGAGTGAGTTGTCCGAGCTTTGCAGTTTATGTGTCATCATTGGGGCCACTTTAATTCTATGGCTTTAAACTTGAGTGTGGTTCTTGGAAATAGAAACAAGTATGGAACTAGAGAAAGAGATTAAGCCAGACTGTAACACAGGGGTTCCTAAGCCTAAATCAATTCATCCATTTTCCTCAACTTCATCCGCTGAGGCATTCTGAGATGCCCAGACTTCCTTATCCACACTCTTCCTCCAGCTCCTCCGAGGGAATCCGAGGCGTTCCCAGGCCAGCTGTGAGACATCGAGTCCTGAGTCTTCCCTGGGGTCTCCTCGCGTTATCCTGACTCTCGCCAGACTCTTGTAGTTCGCTGAGCTTCACACAAGAGTCTGGGTCTCCTTCATAGCGGATGAATTTCAGAAGGCGGGGCCTTGTAAAAAAAAATCCTTGTATGTGATTGGAGAAACCACTCGTCTGTTATCTTGAATGACATGTTCACTCACAGCAAAGCACGCAATTCGTTGCGTTGCAGGGTGGCCAAATGCCGGCAAGATTTTCTAGCCCAAAACCTGTGAGAATGGCCCAAAAAAAAAAAAAAAACACCCAGAATGATTTTTTGGCTAAAAACATAATGCAATCTACTTGGGCTATCATGATACTGTTCATGATTGTCTTTCTGTCTATTTATTACCACTCGTCCACTTGCGATCTTTCTTCGTTCATTACGTGAAGCTCATGACAAAATAGAAAACTTTGCCTTTTTCGGCTCAGCTCCCTCTTTTACCACAACGGTCCGATACAACGACCGCATCACTGTGCCGGTCCGCCTGTCAATCTCACGCTTCATCCTTCCCTCACTCGTGAACAAGTCCCCGAGATATTTGAAGTCCTCCACTTGAGGAGGGACCACTCCACCCACCTCATCCCAGCTGCTTCACACTCGGCTGTCGAGCCAACGGGACAAGATCATCTGCAAATAGCAGAGATAAAATCCTGTGGTCTCCGAACCAGACCTCTTGTGGCCCCTGGCTGCGGCTATAAATTCTGTCCATAAAGACAGTAAACAGAACCGGTGACAAAGAGCAGCCCTGGCAAAGGCCAACATGCACCGGGAACAGGTCTGACTTACTGCCGGTGATGCAAAGTCTTTAATGCATTTAAATATGTGATACCTAAAATCCCCCAAACCACAATTCTCATCCCCAGATATACAGTATTGTATTCGTAGTAAATTTGTCCTCTGCTTTTGATCCATTATGCAATAACACTTTGTATGATCAACTTGCATCATTGATGGTAAGAGGTGCAGGCTACTATGGCATTGGTTGCTTCATTTTAAATCAAATGTATTTATTCTGAAATAGTTGAGGTCAGTCGAAAGATCCAGTAACAATCTTCCAGAAAGTAATATCCTATCCAATCTCATGTTGAATAAATGTCAAATCCTATTTGTCAAAACACTGAAATAATGTAACAAATACATTGAAAAGGAGGAGGCCTAACTCCCAGATTCGTGGAGAAGAATGCCAACGTCATGTAATAATGTATTTTTTCTGTCAATAAGAAAAATAAAACAAGGATTGTTGGAGCAATGCAGAATTGAAGGCAGAAGAATAAAGGTTATAACTTCGGTAGGACGATGAGAATAACAAAATATAAACATAAAAAAAGTTTCTTTGTGACCGTGGCAGGAAATAATAGTGTTGTGGTGTTGCGGATATGTTTCTTACCTTTGTTTCTGTGGTGACCGCCGTGAGCACAATAGTCATCTCACCGTCGGAAAACTCTTTGGGCTCTTTGGTCAGGAGCTGCTCCCAGTCTGCGGCCGGCGGTACACAGCAAACAGACTACAGTTATATGCACACATTGTACACGCATGTATGCACACACACACATACAGACACACGTGCGTACACACATCAGATACACAAAGTACAGGGGTCCAGGCAGGTTAGAGACACAGGAACAATATCAATGCACCGCAAGGCTCACTCTGATTTCTAATAGGATAATTGTCTTGAACCAAACTTGAACACACAAACATGTTAACATAATTAATATTGTTGTGGCCGTGGCTAAATATCAGATACAGCAGACACACAGAGGTTATGTTGTTGCAGATCGATTACATCTCTCAACATTGTGATTTGTATGTAAAGATCCCAGCTCTGGCTCCACGCTCATCACTGAAGGAGCCTCTGGTCCGTTGTGTCCTACGAGTGTGTGGTGCAGACAGATGACTTTCAAGTGTGTGGTGACAATCACATGCAGTGAGGCCAAAGTCCTGGATGCCATCCTGACTACAGACACTGCTTTTGCACTCAATTTACAATTTACAAAATTATAAAATTACAAAAGATCCAGTGGGAATGCTGGGAACTATAGGTAAAATATTGAGGGTGAAAAATATTTTCAGGGCATTTTTCATCCAAGTTTTTGGATGATATGGGGAAAGTTTTTATCTTTTTCTTCAAAGTCTCATAATATTTGAATTCTATAATTACAAATAAAAGTAAGAATACAAAATTATAATATTTAAGAAATAGTATACTCGTGGCTGCTCTTGAGGTTGTGCACTGGTTTGTTATTACAGCAGATACACACCTGGCAGTTTAGCTGGTTTCCTGTGTCTGACTTGCTCCAAGAGTCTGAGGATTTCTTCCACTTCTTCAGAGTGTTGGCCATGTTGGAGCCACAGCGCCTCTCTCTGCAGCAGCAAGGCTTCTGTCATTACAACATAAAGGATAAAACATATTGGTATTCTTTATAATCTACTTATAACTGTTCTATTGGGTATACATCACTAATGGGGCTCTTTGAATAAGGTTGTTTGTCATGGATTGTTTTTCCAAATTTAAAGACCTTATGACGGGTTTGATTTATTTAGAAATACAGTTTTAATACCATTTTATATTAGAAGAGAACTACTAAAGGTTTCAAAATCAGTTGTTTTTTTTGTCTGATCCCCCCAAATCGAAATAACCCCATAGCAACGCCCTTAGAGACAAAAAAACTTCACAGCCCTTGGTGACGTCAGAACGGGTACGTTTCAACGCTGTAAGTTGTTCACAATTTGGTATTCGTTCTTTTTTCGCGGATATTCAAGATGACAAGGACTGCCAATCCAGATGCTTGGGTTCAAATCCCACCTCGGACACTTTTTCACACTCAAAACGGCAATTTATGTGTAGTGAGCAATTGTCACCTGTAGAGTGCAGTATTGTGTTGGGCATCAGTGGAGAGAAGAGAGAAAAGGCAGTCCTGTGGCATAGATCCATGGTTTTCAATGCATGGGCGTAACCCGCTATGACGTCACACACAGGTTAGAGCATAGACAACTTAAATTCATGATAAACACGTTCTTTTTATAAAATATAGGATTTTTTTTGCCGGAATCTCTTTCAAATTAACATTGTCATGCAATTTTGATATCCACTATTTTTTTTTTAAAAACCCGTCATAAGGTCTTTAATTCAACAAATAGAATATAATACATAATTATAACAATAATGCATAAGCTTATATAGGACTGTTTGAGACTCAGACTCTTTACATTGCTATATTCGTTCTTGCTATACACAATTAAGCTACAACTGTTGCCACAGACACAAGCAAAGCTAACAATTAATGCCATCAGACCCTCCTACCACCACCAATTATGTACACACAGACACTTACCAGACTCTTACTCGACAATGGGGGTGAAGTGTACACACAACAACGGTCTAGCACTTTACACTTTCCCAATGGTCTCCCATCACAGTACTAACCAGGCCTCTGCGTAGCTTGTGAGGCCTGAAGATAAGGTAAGGATGTCCAATTGTTTTATATAGTCACAAACCTATGGCTATAATTATATATATATATATATATATATATATAAAATAGTTAAGTGAATTGATCTAGTTTCTATTTTTCACAATGATACAGTTACAATTATACGTGTGATCGGCTAATTCCATTTTCCTAGTTTTGCAGAGGTGAAAGGGACTGCTGCTGTTTTTAAATGTGCAGAGGATAGACTGAATTATAAGCCTTTGAAAGGATCGATAAGAGTGAATGCACAGCAGTGTTCAGAGGAAATGTGAGACTCTGTGCGGTGCCCCATTAGCACACGCCCTGTGGAGCCGGACCAATGCTGCTGCAGGGATGCGATCATACGTCTTTGTAGTTTTATTCTTTGTTCATTTGAAGTTCATCTTTTAAAAAGTAATGACACAAGTTTTTAATCTGTGACACATGTGGATCATTGATTTAAAATGCAAAATCTCAACATTTTATCTAAAAACATTGTAGGATGGGTCAAATGCAGAGGACAAATTCCCCACGGGGATAAATGATATATACCTTTTAGCTTAAAGAAGCTATACCCGATTTTTTTTCTAAGCAGTTCATAAAAATGCTGATTACTACATACAAGTTGTATTATAAGCCGTAATTTAATTGAAAACTTGAGGTCATTGATTCATCCGTGTAAGAATACACACCGGGAAAAGTGCTCAGTAGAGTCTTAGCGGGCCGCTCGTTCTCCTCCACTCACAGAACGAGCAGCGAACAGCCTGCGTCCTTTAGCCTCTACAGCGCTGCTTAACACCAGGGCTTCGACTTCGAAATTCAAACATAATTCTAAAATTAAAAATATATATATATATCCGAACAAATATTAGATCGCCCTTATAATTCGAAATGTATATAATGACTGCAAATAAAATAGTTGGCTCCCAAAGGTTTCACCGGGACGTGCTAGGCAGGTGTTCGTTACATGTTACTTCCGGGTTTTTCGCGACCGTTTTTTGTCACATTAAATAAGTAATTTTGTCATGAAAACGTTAACAACAAATTCAGAAAACGTCCATGCATGTGTGTTAAGGATGTATATGTATAGTCCGATTAACATTTATTGGTGTCGATTGATTGATATGTATTTGTTTATTGACCGTGGCTAGCTCAGCTAGCTTCTCTTGTTGTACTTGCAGAGTAATGTTAGTATTATACACACCTGAATTACAAACAGAGATTGCATTGTCAAAGGGCAGCGGTCAATATTGGTTTGAGAGTTCTGTTTTCAAGAAAAAAATGATCGGTAGAATTACATTCAAGTCAATGGAGTGCTGTATAATAAATTATAATTAAATATTCTAATATATTCTAATGTTTAAATTAATACATTCGGACGCGAAACTAGGGGTATTCTTTTAACTATATATTGTGTTAGCAGTGCGTTGCTTTAGTATCATTTCATCAGTGATTGTTGTACAGCTTACAAGAAGTTGCACTAATGTTAGCATACATATCAGATCGCAAATTGAACAAGATGGCTCTGTGTTATGAGAGCGCAGGGGAAATGAGCAGCCATTGAGGGAGTTGGGGGGCGGTGCTATTCATTCAAACCTTGCAGAAACGGGTATATCGCCTTTAACTGCCTCGGCTAATCAGCATTTGCTTCACCTGTGGCATTCCTTGTAATCCGGCGCTAATACTTTCAGCTCGCGCAGCAATCTGCCTCTTCCCCATCACCACCTCAAAAGTAGCACATGATTAGCTCATCACTTCAGGTTCCACCACCCCGGGGGGAAATTCACTATTCTATTTTCTACCGCAAACGTAACCATCTATTGGTGCAGCCTTCCTCAATAAACATACTTCGTGCACATCTCCTTGTCTGAGTCGTTCCAAATAGAATGAGCAATGCTGACAGAATAGTGAGTGATTTCTCCTGCATGATATTGCTTCAGGGAGAAGTGAGAATGGAATTATTAAAACATGGTTGAATGTTTTTTCCTATAATAATACAAATTACAGTTATTCATGAATGTGCACTGCCTCAATAAAATAAAACATGATTGAACAAAACCTGTGATTACATTATTTCAAAGATAAAAACTGCTCTTCTGTCATGTCAGTCAGAGCGTGATTTCCAAGTTCCTTCCTCCCAAGACACAACATGTTTACCATAACAACATCAGATACATATATTTACCCATTACAGAAGAGAGAGTGCGTGTTGTGTTGAGCCTGCTGCACCTGACAGAGGGCCATTTGGTTGCAGATTTCCCTAACTTCACTTTGAGACAGTGCTGGTGTCGTCCCGCTGTGAGCTAAGCGAGTGTTGTGGGGGATTTGAGCGCGTTTCCCTCTTCACCGGGCCATTAGTCCCTCACCTCTCAGCGTGGGCCCCAGCGGCAGGCCGACGTGCTCTGGTGCCTCTTGAAGAATCTCCCGGGCCACCGTCATCAGCGCCAAGGACCCCGCGCTCTCCGGGTCTCCGCTGTGGACCACGCGCCGGACCGAGGGCTGCAGAGCACGGAGCTCAGAGCTGCGGAAAGACCAGAAAGTGTTTATGAAGGCTGTTAGTTTTATTGTTTAGCATCAAACAAAGTGTTACTTTCGGCTCTAATGTCGGCTCTTTTAACGCCACCTGGAAAAGCCCACCACTGCGTCTGCAAATTCACGCGAAGCCTAGTGAATGTACTGACGACTGTTTTGGATAATATTTGTGGTCATGAGACAAAACAAGCCCCATTTTAAAGCAGTCATAAGGTGCTTTTGTCTACTAGACTCAACCAAAGATCATTTTCTTAATTTTAACACAAAGTTGACAAAAGATTTTAAACATGTTAAAGCTGCGGTAACTTTTTTTGTTTCATAAATACTGAACCATAAGTCTGGTTTCAATACCGTTATGTGAACAAACCAACCATACTATTGGTTGAGAGAGGGTATACTCTCTCAGCCATAAAAAATGATTTAAAGCCATGCATATGAATACTAGAGATAGAACCAAACTCTTTTGAGAGCGAGGAACTGGCTACATGAATTTTAATCATATGAAAATTAGGCATCCCAGCTTTAAAAGAAAAATGTCTCGTCCGTGTAGCAGAGAAAAAAATAGGTACAGTGTGGTCGTGTCGGAAAATCGTCTAAGTCAAGTTTCCTTGAGAGTAGGATATTACTCAAACATACAGGAATCACTATAGGACGATGACGCAGAGTACAGAGGAGTAATACAGGATTTTGTGGACTGGTGTCAGCGGAATCACCTCCTCATCAATGCGGGGAAGACTAAGGAGATGGTGGTGGATTTCCGCAGACGTCACTCTGCCGCTCCAGCCCCAGTGAACATCCAGGGAAAGGACATTGAGAGAGTGTCCTCTTAAAAGTACCTGGGTGTTCATCTGAACCACAAACTGGACTGGACTCATAACACAGACGCCCTCTTCAAGAAGGGCCAGAGCCGACTCTACCTGCTGAGGAGGCTCAGCTCTTTTGGAGTGCAGGGGCCACTCCTGAAGACCTTTTATGACTCTGTGGTGGCATCAGCCATCTTGTACGGTGTGGTCTGCTGGAGCAGCAGCATCACAGAGAGGGAAAGGAAGAAGCTGGGCAAGGTCATCAGGAAGTCCAGCTCAGTCCTGGGCTGTTCCCTGGACGCAGTGCGGCAGGTGGGGGACAGGAAGGTCTTGGACAAACTAACATCTATGCTGGACAATGACTGTCACCCCCTGCAGGACACTCTCTCTGCTCTGGAGAGCAGCTTTAGTGACAGACTAATTCATCCTCGCTGTGTGAGGGAGAGGTTTCGCAGGTCCTTCCTCCCTGCTGTCAGGCTAAACAACGAGAATGTGTAACAAGAGTCTGAGTCTGTACAAATGTTACTGATAATTCACTAGTAACTTTTTCACTAGTCACTTTACCTGTTATTAGTATTACTGCATTATTACATATCCATCTGATATGAACCTGTTATTAGAATTACTACATTATTCTACATAATGGTGCTACGCCCCTTAGCTATGCTATGGGTAGACTCCCAGAGGCTCCCAGCCTCCCGCTAGAGAGAAACCAATGCTCCAATCACGGGCGAGTCCCTCCTATAAATAGCCCTCTGCAGCCCGCACCTGCCACTTTGAACTCTTGAGTTCAAAGGCGCCATTGAGAGATCTACTACTCACCACTGCAAGAGGAAGACTGAAGATGTCGCTGCCTTCTCCTGCTCGTCCGAGTTCCCCTATGCCCTGCGGCGTCGGACAATGAAGGTGCAGCGTCTGCAGAGTCAAGCTCCACTGAGCAGTGTTTCCTCTGCCTGGGAGCGCGCCATTCTCAGGGAGGAGCCTGGCTGCGCAGCGTGCTTCTCTCTCCCCGCCTCGCGTATGCCACCACCGCGGAGACTCGCCCGGGTCCTTCCCAGGAGGACAAACTCGAGGTGGAGTATGTGCCGCTTGACCTGCCTCCCGCGCCCAGGGAGTGGGGAGACTCCGTCGTGGAAGACTAGTTTGACGAGGACCAGGGCTCTTTCGTCACTCTCGACGAGGCCATTTCCGTGTGTGGAGGGCAGGACAGGTTCCCGCTCGACCAAATGCCCAGCCTCTTTGCCGTGGCGACGAGGAGCATGGAGGTTTCCCTCCCCCTGCAGCCCTCCCAGGCCGAGGCTGACTTCACGTCGGCGGGCGCTGCGGTGCGTGGGAGGAAGCGGCTTGCGCCAACGCTGTGCCCGCGTATGGACCCGGTGTTCCACTACGCGGTGAGGCTAGCGTTGCTCCCCAGTCCTCTGTTTGGCCAGGCAACAGACCTCTCCTTCCCTCTGAGCGGGATAGGATGAGTATGTCTAGTCTGGATCGTTGCTATGCCATCGCGGCTCAGGTGGTCGTGTTGGCCAGCAACATGGCGCTCCTCACCGGGGTTCTTGACAGGTCTCTCGCCGCGGGTCAGGAACTCTGCGGGGAGGACCTCAATTGGGTCAAGACCACTTCGGCGGCGCTCCTCCGGATGGTTCAAGCGCTGGCCATCGACGGGGGCCGTACCAATGGGAGCTGCACAGGTCGGTGAGGGAGGCGGAGAAGAGGCAGCTGCTGGATCTGCCTATCTCCACCAAGTCCCTCTTCGGCCCGGACATGCAGGGGCTAGTCCAGAGGCTGGACAACGTGGCAAAGGACTCCGCGAGGCTGGCTCCACGTTGAGAGTCCCGTCAGCAGCCCAGGAGCAGCGAGGGGGAGAGAGACCGGTCTCCCAGACGACGCTTTGCTCCGCCCCAGACCTCCACCGAGACACCGTGGCCCAGAGTGGCCCTCCGGTGACTCTCGTGATCAGCGTTCCCAGCACCGCCCTCCCCACAGTGGGGGAAGACTGGGTGGAAGAGGTTCTTTTTTCTATAAAAAAAAAAGATTATCCGTATTCTCTGTGTGAGTCTCCTATGTTCTTGCATCACATGTCGTCACAGGTAGAGGGCAGTGTTTTACCACGAACATCTCAGCTCCACTTGGGAGAGAGGGGTTTACTGAGACGAGTCCAGACCACCGCTCCAAGTACTACCAGGTCTAGCACTTTTTCCTCCCGGAGAGGCTTAATGCGTGAGAGTCAGACTACTGCGGGTCTTACCTCTACTACAGTCTCTGACGTGGCTGGCGCTTCACTCCTCTCCGAGAGGATGAAGCGTAAGAGCAAGGCTGCTATAAGTGCGTCCCATCTTGGATCTGCACACATTGAACCAGTCCAAACGACCATTCCGCATGCTCTCCACGAAGCAGCTGCTGGAGTGTGCGTCAGGCCCGGAGATTGGATGTCTACCATAGACCTGATCGACGCCTACTTCCACATAGCGATAGTGCCAGAGCACAGACGCTTTCTGCGCTTCGCTGTGGGAGGGAAGCGTTACGAATATTGCCGCCTCCCGTTCGGGTACATAGACGATTGGTTAATTCTGGCCCCGTCCAGGGAGGTGTCTGTGGATCACACGCGCTTGGTTCTGTTTCACATTCAGCAGCTGGGCTTTGTGGTGAACAGAGAGAAGAGCAGGCTGCAGCCTGCCCAGCGCGTGGTCTATCTCGGTCTGCAGCTGGACTCGGTGGGGTTCCAAGCTGCACTATCCAAGGACAGGAGAGAGAGCATCACCCGCTCAGCCAGGGAGGCGCTGCCCGCGCCCAGAGTGCCCGCTCGGAGCCTCAGGTCGCTCCTGGGCATGATGGCTGCAGCTCATACGGTGGTTCATCTGGGTCTTCTCCACATGAGAGGATTTCAGAGGTGGCTCTCCCGGCTCAGGCTTCACCCCTCACGGGACAGGGGGGGAAAATGCTCATGGCTCCCCTGACCGTAGCGGCGGACATCAGGTTCTGGCTCACCCTAGGGTCTGATGCAGGACGGGGTGCCTCTGGTCGATACCGTGTCGCACGTGGAAGTGTTCACGGACGCCTCTCTTAAAGGGTGGGGAGGGGTTCTGGGCCAGAGCTCCGTAGGCGGCTCCAGGTCAGATCACTCTCATGGCATGGCGGTGATGGAGTCGTGGCCCCTCCAGAACGAGCCTTGGGCTCTGGTCCAGGGAGGGGGGACGCTTCACTCGTGCCCGGTACTGGGCCACAAACTCTGGGTCTGGAGGCTAAGAGGTGGAACCTCGTAGACCTGGGCCTCCCTCCGTCGGTGGTGGAGACCATTCAGGGTGAGAGGGCCCCTTCCATTATCAGGGCCTATGGCTGTAGGTGGAAGGTTTTCAATGCCTGGTGCGTGGTACGATCTTGGGACCCCACATCCTGCCCTCTGGAGGGAGTTCTGGGGTTTCTCCAGGAACTTTTGGAGAAAGGGAGGGGTGCCGGCACATTGGCGGTGTTCGTGTCAGCCATTGCCTCTGGTCGCGGGGGGTTCGGGAGCTTTTCGGCCTAGTCCCACCCGTTGGTCAAACGCTTCCTTCGGGGGGCCCACAGAAAGAGGCCCGTCCTGAGGGGTCTGTCTGGGCCTCCTTTCGAGCCAGTGTCTCAGGCTAGCCCGGAATGTGTGACCTTCAAGACCGCTCTTTTGATGGCTTTGGCTTCTACCAAGAGGGCGGGTGATTTGTGTGCACTCTCCATTCATCCAGCCTGTCTGTCGTTTGGAGCTGGGGATGGTCTGGTAGAGCTTTGGCCCAACCCAGCCTTTCTCCCCAAGGTCGTTACTTTGGCCTTTAGATCTAGGGTCATCAAGAGCAGACCCTTTTATCCGCCGCCTCATGCTTTGGAGGAGGAAGAGCGGCGGCATCTCTTGTGCCCAATCAGGATGCTGAGATGCTACCTGGACTTTACAGCTTCTTTCAGGCGTTCTGATCAGCTGTTTGTGTGTTTGGGCCCTAAAAACAGGGGCGCCCCGTTGACTTCTCAGCGGCTGGTGCACTGGGTTTCCCGGGCGGTTTGCATGGCGTACCAGGCTCAGGGATTGGTTCCCCCGGTGGGGTTCAGGGCGCACTCCACACGGGGGGTTACGGCCTCTACGGCTCTGCTCCAAGGGGCCTCGGTGGAGGACGTCTGTCAGGCGGTGTCCTGGGCTTCGTCCTCCTCCTTTGCTCAATCGTATCTGGTTGACGTTTCAGAACGGTCGGTCGCCCACTCCGTTCTGAACGCTGGGATTTGATTGGACCACTAGGTGCTCTTGGTAGAAGCAGCCTAGGATCTAGTGTAGGTATGCGAAGGCCGCCCCACTCAGGAGCTCTGAGGCCTGCCCCTGGTTCTCCGGGGATGGTTCGATCGCCATTCCTTCAGGAGCTCTTGGTGGATGCGTCCTGGGAATGCGGCCTGCGCTACTCGCAGAGGATCTTGACAGTGTTGTAGGGGGTCCTTGGTAGGATTGGCCTTAACTCTGGTCTCTTTGCCCTTGGAAGGGGTTTGTCAGTGTTCTTCGGGCGTCCTTGGTAGGAGCGGCCTTGTAACACTGCCTTTCTTCCTTTTCCTGCCCTGGGCCCACTCACCTTGGTGGTGTTGGGAGAGTCTCGGGCAGGGCTCCAATCACTCTACGCTGGCCTGATGGGAGTACATCTTCCTACGGCTACGCACGGTACCCATAGCGTAGCTAAGGGGTGTAGCACCATGATGTAGAATTCTTAGTTACCTAGTGTAACTGTAGTTCTACGAATGGTGCGTAGCCCCTTAGATACGGGCCCATCAGAGCAGAGTTCAAAGTGGCCGGTGCGGGCTGCAGAGGGCTATTTATAGTAGGGACTCGCCCGTGATTGGAGCATTGGTTTCTCTCTAGCGGGAGGCTGGGAGCCTCTGGGAGTCTATCCATAGCGTAGCTATGCATTATTACATATCCATCTGATATTTTTCCCATTCACCACTTTACCAGATATTATTTCTGATGTTTATTCTGCTAATATTCATATTCTCCGCTGCTAAGTACAATATACACATCTGTAAATACTTTTGAACCAAGCGCAATTATAGCCCAAGAGTTTCTTATTTCATTTTATTCTTTATCTTTATTTAATTGTCTATTATCTTAAATAATAGACTTATTTGATGTGTGCAATCTGAGTGCTCTTATTTCCTTCTTTCTCTGCTGTAATGTGCGCAACAATGACACTGAATTTTCTCCACTGCGAGACTAATAAAACGTTATATATACACTATATACTATGTTATCTTAAATATATTTCATGGACAATGAGAAAGAAAACAGTTATCTCCATTGATTTAAATTCAGTTCACAAAGCCTGGTGGAACAGAGGTCATATTTCATCCATATATATTTAAGTGTCTGTACCCCTGCAGTAGTCCGTCCCGTAGCAGCGTGAGGGTCAGCGGACGTCGCTCCTGCAGTGAGAGCAGGTCCAGGTGGTCCCTCCTGAGCAGTAGACCCTTACTTAGTCCCAGTGTGGCCAGTAGAGAGCATGTGTCTTGGGGCACATCTCCTCCGCACAGCACTGGGACCACCAGCACGTCTGACTGCTGCTTCTGAGGCAACAAGAAGTCAGTGTCAAGTGTGAATCCAACTAGATGGGAAAGCAATTTTTTTGAAAAACAAGTTGAAAAAGAAAATGTGTGTTTTCTAAGATCATTATTTTAAAGTCAAAGTCAAAACCACCATATTATTCTTAAGTCTTAATTGTTTATTATTTTTTATTACGGATCCCCATTAGCTTCTACCAATGCGGTTGCTAATCTTCCTGGGGTCCCATTTAAGACAAACGCATTACAAAAAATAAATAAAATTAAAAATACATTAATTCATTGCCATCATAATAAATACATACAAGGCATAGATCAAGCCATTCATCATAATGATGCATGATTGTCATTTAAGTTTTATTTTAATAACATACAAAGAAGATAGATCCCTTCTTTGTACGTGGGATGAGAAGGTTCTTTTCTCATCTCACAGAGCCATTTAGTTTTATTTGTGATCTGATACGTATGCAGATCAACTTCAGCATTAGCGCAACTTGTAAGCTGTATAACAGTCACTGATGAAATGGTAAGCAACGCACTGCTAACAAACTATATAACTAAAAGATTACCGCTAGTTTCGCGTCCAAATTTAGTCCGAGCATAGATAGTCCAAGGCAGACCCGCTTCAGCAGGTCTCTCCAGAACATACGATGTAATTGATCAAAGATCTCGCAGCTAGTTCACTCGAAGGGAACAAAACTCTGGAGCTGAGATTGAATGACATTGTTTGTCAGGCTTGAACTCTCTGACCCGGCTTGGATTTGCCCCTGTGTACGGAGGTCTGAGGGCGCCGCAATTCGGATTAATTGGATTTAATAGAATATCTGCCTGTTTTTGGTCTGCTACATTGCATACAATATTGTCCCTCTCAGGCGATGTGTTTTTCTCCTGCTGTGTCTTCTCTCCACTCTTATCTCACATTCCTCGGCCAAGGCCATAATAACAAGTCCGGACTATCTACAACTACTCACACTATTCAGTCTCCAGCTCGGATCCCGTTCCCCCGCCTCCCTCTACCTATCCATCTTGCTCCCTCCCTCCCCTCCACTCCTCATTGTGTTTCCGACTCACCCCCTCCCTGACCCTGCCCCCCTCTGACAGCCACATTGGGCCGGCTGTAGGAGGCGCTCATCCCGAGAAAAAAATCCGTGGTTTATTCAAAGCACAACGTGTCTATCCAACTGTCTGTGTAACCTGTATGTTATTGCTCTCTGCTGTTTATTCTACTGTTTGTCGCATGGAGCCGTAAAGATGGCGCCGTGGCAAGAGCTCTGGTGTGTGTCGTCTTCTCTGTCTGGCGCACACCGGGGTAGTCTTGCACAGTTTTCCAATGTGGTTTTACTGCAAATGGCAAATAAATGAATCTGAATCTGAATCTGTAAGCTAGCTATGTTCACCGGGCTTGATTTCTTCTTTGATCAATTTTTCGCTTTAGTTCCCTCTTCTCTTCCTCACTGTTGCATCGTTCGGGCAGTTTTGCTGTGCATGCAGTTACAGCCAGAGGAGCTATAGCGGCTATCAGCTCCTTGCTGCTCTTGTTTGCCTGCGCTGTAGACGTTAGAGGACGCCGCCTGTTCATAACAGCGCCGCTCCTAGTTCTGTGAGTGGAGGAGAGCTAGCGTCTAAGTTTCTACTCAGCACCTTTTTCGGCCTGAATTCATACACAAGCTGAATCAATGAGCTCAAGTTTTCAATTAAATTATGCATTATAATACAACCTGTATGTAGTAATACGCATTTTATGGAACTCATTAGAAAATAAATCGGGATTTTTTAATAATCACGGAATGAAAAGACGAGATGGCATCAGCAAATGAGAACCAGATCAAATTTCACAATGTCAAACTTGAAATAATGTGTTGTGTTTGGAAAAGATATGTTTTTATGAAAAACCAACAGCAGACTGGCAGTCAAAATGGGGCCTCGGCTGCTTCCACATGTGAGTGGGAATCACAATCCTAAATTCTAGTTCTGATTGGATTATTAAAATGTAGAAAGATTCTGGTTTTAAAAAAAAGTAGAACGAAGTGGGAATATTAAATTGGTTTGAATTTAATTTGGCAGGTTCATTGAATTTGTGTGCAAAACTGCGGAACAGAAACGCCCTGCTTCTTTATACTTTAATCTACTGTTTTAGTAGCACATTTTCACATGCGTTTGTTTTTTAACGTAAAAAAACATGTTTTTTGTATACAATTTAAATAAACAGAATAAAGAAATGGGGAGAAGTGGAATGTGAAAGACATTCTGCGAGCACTAAAGCCTCAAATGCAGGATAGTATTGAAGGCCTCAAACAGGCCAGATTCAATGACAATATAAGTTGGGTTAAGAGAATGACAAATAGTGAATAGTGTGGGAATAATGTGCTCTAAATAACAAAACAGATAACAGAACAAGAAAACATTCTGTCTTGACTGTATTGTGTACAAAAAGTTATAAATAATAAATGGAAAAGTTACCAGGCTGAGATGCAGAGCTAGGCACAGTGTTGCAGCCACCGTGTCCACATCAGGCTGAGGACCCCCAAGGACCACATGCACCGGAGAGTCCCACAGCTCCTCCTGCAACAGACACAGAACATCAGCTACAGCTGCTAAACTGTTAGACAATTTTTCATTTTTAGCTTTCAAAGATGTCACATTACTACATTGTACAAACATGAAACTCAATCCATCCATCTTCTTTTGCTTTATCCGTTGCCGGGTCGCGGGGCAACAGTCTTAGGCCCTGTTTATACTGAGACGCAGACGTTTCCAGGCTATTGACAGAAACGACCTGGCTCCTAATGCAATTTTCTCAGCGTTCACATGAGGTTGAAAAACTATGTAGTTCTAGCGCCCGGCCAGTAGTGGGCAGAGAAACTTTACAACACGACACACGATCCCCAGCCCAGTGCCCAGCCCCCCTCTCGGCAGTATACTCACTTCCTGTGCCAGACCCTCAGCGAGTACCAACATCATTCTGCCTTTTAAAAGCATCTGGGAAAATGGAAACTGAACCTAGAGCTTCGCGTGGTCTCGTTTGGACAAACAAAGGAGTAGAATCTTCCTCTGTGCCGCGCTGGAAGTGCACGAAGCTAGTTAGTGTGACCGCCGCCATTGTTGTTTATGTTTGTTCTCCGCTACTGTGCATGTCCAAATGTACGTGCGGGGAGCAGCGCGGAGGTGGGGGTCAGAGCAGAGGGGGATTTCACACCAGTCGGCGCTTGATCATATACGGACGCCTCCCCGGGGGAGGCGTCCAGGAGGCATCCAGAACAGATGCCCGAGCCACCTCAACTGGTTCCTCTCGACGTGGAGAAGCAGCGGCTCTACTCCGAGCTCCTCCCGTGTGACCGAGCTCCTCACCCTATCTCTATGGGAGCGCCCAGCCACTTTGCGGAGGAAGCTCATTTCGACCGCTTGTATCCGCGATCTCGTTCTTTTGGTCATTACCCACAGCTCGTGACCATAGGTAATGACCACATGAAACTCCCATCAAAATGCTACCATCTCAAACTTGTAGTTATATGAGAAGAGTGGTTTTCTACTTTTAAAATACTTTTTAAAGTGTTGCTAACATCAGTCTTGCCCATTTCTCCAGTGAAATTACAAGCTTTACAATCACATGGCTGTTTTTTTTTATTTGAGAAAAAGACAATAATTCAACTTGTTCCCCTGGTGGTAGCATAGGGAGTTACATACGGATAGCATTGAAATACTTGATGCCTCCGTTATCATTATATTATTTTCTACTAAAGGTTATTACTTCACATTCTGAAATACTAAATGACATTCTAAAGACCGAATTATGATTTTAAATGGCCAAAAATAATGAATTATTATTTAAGCAGGTAGAGAGTGGAGACTGGATAAGTTTATTCAACCCTTTAAGTTTGAAGTAGGGCTGGGAACATTTATAATAATAGGGGTGTAACTCCTCATTTGTCCAGGAAAGATGACAAACACAAAGTTACTAAATTTCATTAGGACAGTTTTCTGCTGTGATGGGCAAAGCGAAGCCTCAATAAAGCATTTGAACCAATTGATGTGAAGCTTTGTAGCACAGTCCGAAACAATACAATTTATCTTGATACTGAATCACCACCATTTGACACCAAATAAACCCTTTGTCTGTATTAGCGATACACAGCTCACAAATACATTGACTAGAATATTTAAACATCTTCACACTTCTAATAGATCTATGCATGAAACATACATAGGTCTATATTGCAGCAGAGATGCTTCCTAACAGGCACCGCTAGTTCTCAGCAGCGAGACATTTCAACTCAACAATTACCACAGAACAATTGTACACAAGTCTGTAGAGTCTGTCGAGAAGAACTCATCCAACTGCCCGTAACTCTCTTGACAGTGCTCTCCCAGAACCCACCAGGCAAAAAATATCATCAGTACTGAGCTTGAAAACACCATTCATTCCTTCACCATTGTCACCATAACAAACACGGTGTCTACAAGTAAACATAAATAAGCCAAAGCAGGCGCACATAGGCTCTAACGATGCCTTCCATTAATCTGGTACCGCCGCACACGCTCTCATTTGGCTTAAGTGGACATTAATGGCAGCTCTATTATTAGGAGTCAACATTTATCTGTGAGCGAAAGAGGCAGAAAATTACAATTCGCAAAACTACAAATGTGATCTCAGAACAAGACTGAGAGGATGTTTACATCGGGGACGTTGGGGGAGGGGCTTCTCATTACGGTTTGCAGTGCAGAGGCTGGGAGGCAAAAGCACTCTCGGCTCACATCAAGAAGGTCCTCTGTGTTGAATCCGTCTTATCTAGCAGTCGGAGTCAAATTGTTAATGATAATTGTAAATAGTATAAAAACCCAAATGTCTAATATTTGTTCTTTAAAAATAAAAGCAATAGATGAAGATAATAGACAAAGCTATATAGTATTGAAACCCTAGATGGAGGCCAATGGCGCGGGGTGATTTAATAGTATCAGTGAAGCGCTTTAAGACACAACAAGCAGGGCATTAATATTTATGAAATTAAAAACACAGTTAAGAGCTCTAAGAAGTCGATTTTACTTAATATTTGTACTAAAATGTTACTGCTCCTAGACATGTTTAATATTGTGAACTGCAAGTTGCAAATCGTCCTTATACATAATACATATTTCCCTCATGCAAACTCACCCCAACTCATTCAGCCCTAGAGCATAAGATGTTTGTGCTTATTATTATTTCACAGTGGTGACATGATATTACCGTTTAAAACCCCCAGAATGCAAATGTTTTTACAAGGCAGATATTTAGCGGTGTCTGGTAACCTAAGGGAGCCTTCAATAGATCCAATGGTGCATGAGAAATGAGTCGGCTCCTGATGCGTTGGGGCCAAATGGAGAGATGTAAAAAGGGGAGGGGTGTACATACCTAAGACTGACAGACAGCGTTTAGGTTTATATTCTATTTTTAGTTGTTATGACCATGAACATAAGAGGTTAAATAAATGACATAAATAAGATTTTTTTTTTTTAAATAAGAAATTGCATTGAAAATGGTCAGAAATATCTAATCTTTACCCATCAAGGAAACATAAATAACTAGACAAAACTATAGGAATTACATACACATTCCTGAGTTATTTCAGTGTGACTACGGTGACTACTACGACCTGAAGGACAAATCACATTTTGTGCTGCGTGAGTCTGAATTTTCTGTGCATGATGTAAAATGATGAGAGGAAAGATGCACCGAAGAGCGGAAGTGTGAAAAGGAGAAGCGAAGAAAGAGCCATGATTCAAGATGCGAGAAAAGGTGGCATGTCAATAGCACACGAGTGATTGTGTGTTTGATGGAGAAACAGGGAGAGCTGTGTGCGTGCGTGCGTGTGTGTGTGTGTGTGCGTGTGTGATGGAGAGACAGGGAGGAGGGCTGTAACCACTTTTATCCGAGTGCAAATCAATACCACATAGGCTCTGAAAGGAAGTGAAGCATTAGTGGAGAAAAAGGAGTGAGTGTGTGCGGGCTGTGGGGGTAGGTCTTTATGTCAGAGTGGGGACATGGGATTTAGATCCGTACTATATCCTACAATGACATAAATTAAGATTTTAAGAAAGATTCACAACTTGTGTCACTCAAATCAGAAAGTTAAAATGGGAAATATGTGAAGCCTGTGTTTTTATTTAATTATTGTGAAAAAGTTTGATATTCTATACCGATGTCGTCATGATGCCACACCCATATCAGCTAACTTTCTAAGGTTTCCTGAGTCTTTAAATGGTCTTTCAGTCTGGGCCAGTAAGATACACAATCATGCCCTGACAAGTGCTGACCGATGTAAAGAAGTTATTCATCCGCCACAAAAGATCATCACTAACAAAACTGGTTCAGATAGTATTGTAGAAGAAGTGTAGTGAGAACAGGTGATGCTACAATTATATATTCACATTTTTGAGATTGAATATATGACATGTACAGTATCAAATGATTGACATGATTACAGTGCTATTTGGCCTCGTACACATGCACAGAGTAGATTTTTCATTGATTCCCTCAAGCTTTAGTTAGAGAGCAATTTTTCTCTTTCATTCTAGAGAGGCTCAGAAATGAGTCGTTTCAAATCGTGACAAGGCACAATCCGTGATGTCAAAAGTCCGCCTCCAAGAGGTGATTGACACCGGGAGAAACTGAACCAGCGAATCAGCGCCGTCTATGGTCAGTGCATGCAGCCTTTCTCCTAGTCCAGCCAATATACCGATATAACCTGAACTTTTGCCAACTTTGAACATTTTGTCATATGATGTTTTTTTTTTTCAACATAGTGACTGAAGTGAACGGAAAATAAAATAGTTTTTTAATTACAGGACTACAAAGTGGCACTAGCAAACGTATTCAGACTCCTTTTCTCTGAGTGATTACTAATGAATGCTCAAATCTCAGCCGAACTGTTGAGTCCACCTGGGTGTAATCTAATCCCAGTATGATTACAGCTGTTCTGTGATGGCCTCAGAGGTTTGTTAAGAGAATATTGGTCTTCAAGAAATATCATGAAATCCAAGGAACGAGAAAGGTCAGGAATGAAGTTTGGGAGAGTTTTAAAGCATGGTTAAGTTACACAAAGATTTCTCTAGCTTTGAACATTCACAGCTCAATCCATCCGGTAATGCAAAAATACAAACCAAAATATAAACAATACTTTCAAACAAAAGTTAAGAGATATTTTTCTCCACATGGCAGCAATTTTATTATACTGATATTTAACCCACAATTAATACTTTTTAAAGCAGTACATTTCTGTTGTTATATGTAATCGGCTGAATCATTATGGGCAAATCCACCATTATTTTCTATATTACCCACCTAGGTTTGGAGACTTTTAGATATTAATATATCATCAATAATTAAAGAAGAAAATGTATGCATTATCATGCTTGACAATTAAACATGAAAATGAGACCATTTACGCTGATCTTTCATGTTGAAGAATGTGAAACAATAGTACAAAAAGAAAGTATATGGATAAACATGTACGACTATGAAAAATGTATATCAGAATGCATTTTCTACTTCTACCAGCAGAGGGAAGAGCATAAAATAAAATGCAATC